TGAAAAAGTTAGTTTATCACAGGAATAATGCATATGACATTTAGCAGCGCAGCAGGACTGAGTGCTGATAGTTACGGCCGCCTTAGGTTTCCTAATGTCTTTACAGACGTTTTACAGTTTGTCAGCCCTTGAGGGGCCCCCTACTGGCCTGGGGCTCATAGCGTTTGCATGCTTTGATTGTTGACAAGCGCCTGTGAGCCTGTCCATTATTAACTCTTAACTGGCTACCACTCTCTCTCTTTTTATCTTCATAGCTTCATCCGTCATCGTCCTCTTCCGTCTCTCATCCTCAGCTTTTGTTTTAAACCGCACAGAGACAAGCTAACTGGCTTCTCTGTAGCATGAGAACCGCTGCATGCTGCCAAAGTTACATCGTGCTGAAAACAAGCGACCAGGGCGCTGTGTGGACAAGGCATAGACAACTTTCCCCGCTAGTTAAACTGATTGCACATTAGATCGACTTTGAGAGAGCTTTTTTGAAGGCAGAAAAGTTTCATATTGTTGCTTTAAAACACACATCACAGTTCATTTCTACCAGTATATTTTGTTATTTAAGATAATTGTGTAATTTATGCTCACAAATGTAAACATTTGGAGATGCAGTAAGCAGTGTTTATACAGTATTTTAGTTACTATGACATCACATCACATCATGGTTAGCGATCTCACTGTGCAGCTATCCCCGGTTACATCAGCATCTTCTGATTGTTCCTCTGTGATAACCTCTCTCTCCATTATGTCCTCTCGCAGCTCTCACAGATGCCCCCCCTGCAGGCCGCGTGCTGGCTGCCCTGCTGCTTACCTAAACCCCTTCAGTCCAGGCGGTTCCTCAGGGCCACATTAACCCCCGACGTGCTGACTGACCAACATCCCCCAGATCACAGGACTCTGTATTTTGACCCGCTGGGGACGGTCAGATAGCACCTTCAGTAGTCTTAAAAAACAAAACCCCATTGTGTTATAAGATTATAAGAGTGTGTGGTGCTCAAGACTACATTACAGTTTAGTGTTTATTGTGTATATAGGCCTTGTGTATATAGTGTGTACTCATCAGGAAGTAAAAACAGATGTGTCAACAACTGGACGTTTTTTCTTTAAGTTGAATGTTAAACACTTTTATTCTGACGGGCTTGTTTGGCTCCCTGTCTTTTAAAATGTCTTGTAATAAGTTTGTGTTTGATGTTCTTGGTGAAAGCATGTGTGTGTGTGTGTGTGTGTGTGTGTGTGTGTGTGTGTGTGTGTGTGTGTGTGTGTGTGTGTGTGTGTGTGTGTGTGTGTTATTGTGCAGGAGAGCATTTTGATTTATTTATTTTTTTCATGACACCACACTTCCTTGTCAGAGATAAGATTCAGCAGGTCCATAAACTGTTCATCTGTGTTTGACTTTCTGACGACCTGTCCTTATCTTAATTTGGACTCGTAAACCGAGGTCACTGTCGGGCCAGCCGAGGCTTTACAGAATTCGCTGCACAGGATCAAAGGGGAACACAAATGTTCAAATGTTCAGGTAATATTTGTGCTGCAGATACATTTTGAAAAACTATAAACAGAAAAAAAAACCTTTTCAACTTCTTATCTTTCAGGCAAGCTATAATAAACTTTATTTATTTACACATCACACAGTTACAAAGAGCTTCACATAATCACAGAGTAGGGACGGGTCGACAAGCACACATAGATACTAGAGCTGTCAGCATTTTAATCACGATTAATCTCACACTATTTTGTCCCTTTAGGGTCACCGTAGATAGTCATCCTCAGTGTCTCCCTGTAGTCTGATGTAAAAGAAGGACACTGCTGCATCTTTGAATGTCTCATTTCACTTTAACAAACTCTCAGACAGCTCAGCTGACGAGTCCAAAGTAATATCCACCTGATGACATCACACATTGACCTTATGACATCACACATTGACCTTTGTTACCGTTCCTTTGAGCTGTTTGACGTCAGTTAGGGATCCCCAAACCAGAAGGTCCTAACTTTATTTCAAAATAAAAGCATGGTTGAGGGGCGCAGAAAGCCTAGTGGTTATGTTGCACGACGTCCCCGTTGCAGCGGCCATAAGCTCCTATCCAACCTCGGCCCTTTGCTGCATGTCATCGCTGACTCCCTGTCATCTCCCAACACTTCCTGTCCGGCTGTCCTATCCCATAAATCAAAGGGCAAAAGAAATAGCCCAAAAATTCAATTAAAAAGCAGGGTTTAATCAAACAGTAAGTAAAGTACTTTTAGCTTAAAACAGCTAACACTTTAGTAGCTGCAGCATTATGTGTAGACGTGTGAGGCTGCTGTTCTTAACCGTCTTGTAATATTTATGTGAACCAGGTTGAGTACATGAAATCTGTCTCTTCTGTTCCCGTGATAAACTTCATTGGAAGGCCTCCAATTACTGCTTCAATTGATCCCACATAGACCTTTTTCCTAGAAGTGTTACACTCTGTTCTTCAAATAATTGCCAATTATAAGCGAGATAACGCGGCATCACCCTCACTATCGACGCTATGAAATGATTACCTTTATCAAGCCTCTGAGTGTGGTTCAACTTTTCACCCCACTCATATCTGCGTTTATTGCCTCTGTTTGCTGTGAGATAAATTAACTCCCGGTGACGTGACAGAGGGCACAAATATGTTGATGGAGAGAGCATCAAACAGAAGAAAATAAAACACACTTGTGTAACAGTCATTGTGTTCTGCCAATCACAAATTGGCATCCAAGAAGTCTGAGTTCGATGAAAACATGATAACCCTCGAGATAAAAAGATAACGCTGAGGTTAAATGAGGAAATCTCGAAAACAGAAATCTCTCTGTTCCTTGTATTTTATCACTTTAGATGCTTTTATGACACAGAAACAGTAAGTTCATTATCATTAGTGATACTTACTTTAGAAACATGTGTTACACATCCTATTTTTCTCACCTCAGTACATGTCATTGTACTCCTGACCTTGTGCTAACAGACATATGACTAAGAAAACTGAACAGGTCATCATATCTGTCTGACGTGTGTATTTTTCTGGCTCTAAGCAGGCTTATTAGATAACAACTGGCTGTTAAAGGTGACACATTCTCCTCCTCTTCAACCAGTGTAAATAAGTCTCAGAGCTCCTCAAAACATATGTGTGAAGTTTCTTGTTCTAAATCCACTCTGATCCTGTCTATAAACCCCTCTATTTCAGCCCTGCTCAGAACAGGCTGTTTCTGTGTCTGTACCTTTAAATGTAAATGAGCTGTGTCTGACCACGCCCCCTCTCTGGAAGGGCTTGAGTGGCTTCAGCTTTCTTGCTCCATGTCCTATTGTTTACGGTGAGAAGGCAGACTCAGAGGGCAGAACAAACACCTAGCTGTGGGAGTGTCACCCACCTGGGGGAGGGGCTACTGCCCTTTGTGATGTCATGAAGGGAAAATCTCCAAACGGCCTGTTTGAGCACACATTTTCTGAAAAGTGGAGCAGGCAAAAGACGGAGAGGATGGACTTTTCTCATAATTGGGGGGTTTGTAGACAGACTAGAGACACATATTGTTAGAAGTGTACCTAGCATATGTGACCTTTAACAAAGGGGTAAAACTTATGCATGCTAACTGTTTGTCTTGTGCAGATGAAGGTGAGTAAAACTATGATTACCATATTATAATTTTTATACTTTAGTTTAGTTTTAGTTAGAGAAACATGGTGGAGCATGATTTGCATAACATGTGACCTTTAATGACTGTTAAAGGAAAGCCGTCAGGTCAACTACGTGCCTTATTGTCCCTTATCCTTCATCAAATCAAAACATATAAGTTATCAAAAATTCACCCCCGGTACAGTGTGTGCTGATGGAGACATGAGTTAATCAGACCTATTTGGGTTTTTTTTTAACCAGACCGTAAACATGTTTATTTCTGCTGTAAAAACAGGCTTTTTAAAAAAAATGTATTTGACTTCCAGTACTTCTGCCCCCAGCCTCTAGTAGACACTCAACGAACTGCAGTTTATTGCACTTCAACTTTGGCTTAATTTTTTCAACACAGCAAGTGGCTTGGATAAAACCACGTTGTCCACAACTGTTGTCAAAATAAACACAAACCTAAAGTGTCTCCCATGAGCTTTCAATTTTTCCTTCTAACATGTCAGCTTATAAAAGGCAGGACCTTCATTACTAACAGGTGACCAACTTAACATACACATACAATCAACTCCCTTATTTGAATAGAGAATAACTTAAAAACCCTTCCTGTTAATAAAATATAAACTTCTTTGAACCAAATAATGTCATGCCTTCTTCAACATCACATGGTGTGCTAAAATGTAGAGTTGTAAGTTAGAGCAACACAGAACTCTACAAGATACTAAAATATTATTATGAAAACAACAGAAGGATTAATTATATTTCTATAATACATACAGTTTTATAAAGGAAACACATGCAAGCAGTAATGCAGGACTTTTGAAACCCTTATCCTCATGTTGAGTTCAGTATCTGTTTTGATTGAAACTAGTTTTTGTAATAAACTAACTTTACATAAATAAATGGAGTAGTTTTCTATTCCGCTCTTATTACTGTGTGAAATTAATTTGTTTTCTCACTCTGCAGAGGTAAAGCCAGAGTGTTTATAATCTTTCTTCTTCCACCAGGAGAGATGACTCGTGAATACCGAGAGCAGGCAGGAACAATTCTCTTGAGCAGATGGAAGGCATGGATAATTAAAAATATCCCGAGACGCAATACCTCACAGCAGCAGACAAGTGGCGCCCTTGCACCCATGAATAAGCAGAAATGATGTTTTGCTGAGTGTCACACAGAGCAACCCTGACCTGATTTTAAATCTTCATCTATGAGACAATGTGGTGGTCTGAGTAATATTTACCTGCTGTGAGGTGCTGCTGACAACACTGCGGTAAGATTCATGTAAATACTCTTCTGCTTGTTTGATTTATTCATCGCCTGCTCGGACTGGCTCTCAGGGGGGGGGGGGGGGGGCGGGTATTCAGCAGCATCTCGCAGCCTCCGCCCGCCTCTCTGGCTCTGTGCAGAGCTGAGGGGAACAGTAGGACCGCAGACCGACAGGAGGACAGGAGGACGGAGTCCCACACAGAGAGAGGGGCGATGGCTGCCGGTGCAGCATGCGGGGAATCGGTGGATCAGTACCGGGGCCGAGGTGGAGCGTCTCACTGCGGAACTGGCCGAGGCGAACCGGGAGAAGATCAGGGCTGCTGAGTGCGGGCTGGTCGTCCTGGAGGAGAACCAGGCGCTGAAGCTGAAGTATGCAGACCTGGAGACCGAGCAGGAGACTCTCAGGAAGGAGTTGGAGCAGTTACAGGAGGTAGGAGGAGGAGGAGGTGCGGGGTGTGCTACTGTCTGTCTCTGCCTCTGCAGACAGGTGTTTGCATGGTGCACCTATTAGTCATGTCTGTTTGTTGTGTTCATTTGCACTCAGCTGGTTGTTTGCGCACCTGATTGGCGTTCAGAGGAGAGTCAGAGTGTGTGTGTGTGTGTGTGTGGGGGGGGGGGGTCATTTTAGTCGCCATACAAATGAGGATATAGTTAAAAATCCATCACTTGTGTCATGTAAGAGTCTACCCCCATGATGCTTATGGTTCCATCTTCTATGAATAAGTTATAAATCCAGCAAAAGTAAATAATTGATGCTGTTTCTGTGTCGTGGATATGAAGTAGGCCTTTATGCAACATGGATATTTTAAGGTTTATATTGCAAGCTCAGGATTCTGCAGAAACACCCCCGCCACTTCCTCCAGCCCCCACATCACTGACTGTTTCATTGTTTCAACATTTCTTCCCTGTGTGTGCATAGCAACAATCAGTACTTTCAGGACACTCTGCTGGGACTCTCCCCTTTTGTTTTGTTTTTTTGCCAAGATTTTTAGTTTATTTCTCAGAGATCCCTCAGAAAAGAAACTGGATCTTCAGGTGTGTCCATTAGGGTTCTGTGATGGCTCAGTTATCTAGAGAGCTTTATGTCCAGATCCTATCACTTAAAAGGATGAGCTAAGAAGAAACCAAGCTGTGTGAAGATTAGAGTTCCTAGATTACACTCATATACGTCTTGTTTTATTGTCCCGTTCCTTGGCCCTGAATCGTCCACATGTAGATTTGAGGAAGAGAAAATTGATGTGCAATCCTGTGCGAATAATGAATGCTGACTGTAAAGATATAGTCATCAACATGCATGCATGCAACAAGACGTGGATGCTGACAGAGTTCACAGCTCAAGGTGGCTTGTTGCGATCCAGGAGGAGTGAAGAGTGTGACTATATGTCTGTTTGTGAGAAACAGAGAGAGACCACCTTTTGATTCCTGTTTTGAATTCCTTTTTCATTTTCAAAGAGTGTCATCTCCATTTCTGAGCACAACAGTGAGTTTGATCCAAGATAAAAGGCCCTGAGTCACAAGAAAGAATGAAGTAGAAGCACGTTAGAGCTGGTTCAGCACCTCAACCCATCAATAAGTTCACCTTCAGAGAATTATGAAGAAAGTATTTTAGTTATTTGATTATGGATGAATTAGATAGTATCTGTCTGATACTGACTCAGATAGCTGGATGAGGGTGTGAGAACAGGCCAGTCCATGATCTATACAGTACAGGTCTATGTTATTCTGTTGTCTTTTTTTCGCTCATTGATCCGTATTCTCATTTGCAGCTAAAGAGATGAAACATGTAATTAACGTATTAATTACTAATTACTATATTCCATGATAGTACTGTGTTTAAGTCTGCATCATGTGGCTTCAATAGCAGGGTCACCATTACAATTCAGTAGTCTGAAGGCACAAGTTGTAAAATAATTTTTCATCCACATCGTGCGCCCACACGATCAGGGCAGAAGAAAAAACGTTTCAACACGTACAAAGACCCGAACAAGACCGCCACCTGCTGCCGGGCGCAACAAGAGAAACACCCCACACAAGACCCCTTACAAGCTGCACTTCCTGTTTATCCCAAATTAACTACATCTGTATGAAAGAAGTTTCTGTAAGACAAAATGATATAATGATAAAAGTCATTTGCACATTTCACACAAAATATGCAATCAAAGTGCTTTATAAGGTAAAAAGGGGGTGCACCTGAAGCGTAGTCGTTGGTGCTCGCGCTCCGTGTGCGGCCGTGGTCCCCCCAGCAGTTGGCCCAGCCTGGGGCGCCTTTCCTGCATGTCAGTCCCCCCTCTCTCTCTTCCTGATTTGTGGCTCTTCCCACTGTCCTATCTCTAAGTACTAAGCACAAAATAATCTTTTAAAAAAATTTAAAAAGGCATGAGCTTTGGAGATAAAAACACACTGTCACGTCGGAGATGTTGAATTAAATTCCATCAGTTGTCCCTTCCTGATGTGTTGACTCATCTTTCATGCAACAATCACTGCAGTCACCATGACACATTATGCATGCGTAACATATCGCCCACTGTCTTCACACTGCTGTCTCCAGAAGTTTGACTTTCTGTTTGGACTTGCACGCAGAATAAGAACAATCTCTGTGCTGCTCACATCAGTCTGTCAAAATAAAGCGACAGCCTGAAGCCGACGACAGCGGAGCACTGTCCACATGATATCTGGAAATTATGAATTATCGGATGACGGGTTGATGTAGCAGATGATGCGGAGAGTGAGACAGAGAGGAAGTAGAAGCTGCACTGAAAAGCAGAGTCTCTTACAGCCCTCTGTACCTATTCCTTCTGTCATAGAGGATTTTGATGTGTTGTTACTTGTTACCCCGTATTGATAATTCTAAGTTTTAAACCCAACACTGTTTGTTTCAAGCAGCGGCTGCATTTTTTAAGGAAGATGAACTCCATTCAGGTGTCTAAATGTCTTAATGGCTTTGTTTTATGTTTTCTTTATAGAAAGTGTCCTTATTTTGCACTCTGACATGGTTTTTAGTTGTTTTACAATGTTCTGTAAAAACATGCTCAAAGGCGGTTAAACTGGCAAGCAAGGGGATGGAGGTGCAGCAAGCTCAGCTGCAGGATATCTTTAGTAAGCGTGTTATCCTGATCACCCTCTGTTTGTCGAGTTTGATCTCCTTTCCTCTCGAAAGAAAACGAGACACATCAGGTGTTCTTTCATCCCTGCCATCTTTAAAACATTATGTTTGCTAGTATAACTTTTCTTTTTAGGTTTATTTTTTGGGGTAAAATAAGTTTTACGTATTCAATAGTTAATTGTAAATAAAGACATTTGTCATCGTGGTTGTTAAAATTCAATTATTTTGCATTTTGTTATGCTTTTATTTTAAAATTCTTTACTGTCTAAGGGTACACTACTTGTTTGGATACAAACCTGCTTTTATTTTGAAATAGAGTAAGGCCCTTCTGGTAGAGTGAAGGTTAGGACATGAAGTTAAGCACAGAAACAGGAAGTGGTTAGGGATCCCAAACTGAGGTCAAACAGCTCAAAGGAACGGTAACAAAGGTCAATGTGTGATGTCATAAGGTCAATGTGTGATGTCATAAGTTGGATATTACTTTGGACTCGTCAGCTGAGCTGTCTGAGAGTTTGTTAAAGTGAAATGAGACATTCAAAGATGCAGCAGTGTCCTTCTCTTACATCAGACTACAGGGAGACACTGAGGATGACTATCTGCGGTTAGACTGAAGGGACAATAACATGATTATAAACGAAAAGCGTGGCCGCAGACAGCCCTAGCTTTTAGATTTATTGCCTTATTTATTGATTCATCTTTAAGTGACTTAATGCTCTTTTATGTGTTCTCTGTCTCTGAACTGTTTCTGCCTCAGTGTAGTTGGAGTTTCGTTGTTTTTCACTTGAAATGTGGAATTTCTGGAGGTCCGTATTGTGTCTCTGTTGCGTCTCGATACCCGCTGCAGATCTTATTTCCTTCAGGTTAACAATAAAGTTAAAGATGCATCATATGGTAAATGTTCATAGCACAATAAATGTCAGCTGTAACTCTGTGAGCACAGCAGCATTGCTTTATGTGATCTGTCTTCCGTTCACATCGTATCCTCCATCCCCTCCTCCACCTGTCTGTCTCTGTGTGTCTGCGCTCTCGCCTCTGAGAGGGAACATTTTCAGGACTTGATATTACTTCCAGAGAATAAACACCTCCTGGTTCCTCTCTGTCTGTCTGTCGCATATTTCACTGATGAGTCCGAGTGGCAGAGTGAAAACCTGCCACTGCAATAGCATCAGGAGAGGTGCATTATAAAAAGGTCAGGGGAGCTGCAAATGGAAATTGCTTCCGGGACTGGGTGGCCTATACCTCCAGTAACTGTTGTTTGTTCTTTTGAAGGACCAAAAATCCATTACACTGCGTCGCCATCCTTTTACTGGAGACTAGATTGAACCGTCTGTGTCGTAAACTAGCTGCTGTGTCATATATGTAAAGATAACCCCTTCATGCCTGAAGCTGTTTTTTTTTTCCTTTATTTGTTATTTGTATTCAGACACAGAGCTGCTGCTTTGCATGCTTGCTCCTGCTGTGTTTGCATGTGTTCTGCTGTGGCACATATGTTCTGCATGCACTGGTCGTCTGCGCACAGCTGGTGGAGAGCAGCAGACACACAAACACACACACAAATAAATCCATACATGTGCAAAACTCAGAGACAAATCCAAATAAGACTAATAACTAGAGTGAGTCAGCTGCTGATAGGCTGGAATAATTAGATCTCTGTGTACCTAACCCGCCCCCTTTGTGTGAGGCTGCATGTTTCTAACAAGCTCCACGAGCAGAAACGTGCTCAAACTAGGATCAATATTGGAGACGCTTTTTAAAAATGGAGAGAGGTTAGAACACAGATTATGAAATGTGAAAAAAAAATAGTTTGGGCCATGGGTAAAAAATACAAGTGACCCAATAACAGTCCTGAATGATGGGTTAGGGTTAGCTGGATTCTGTCACACTAGATCCTCTGAGGATGAACGTATAGACCCTGTCTTACATGATAAGAAGTGCATAACATGTAGTTGAGCTACATGCACCGCACCACTACTTGAGATTTATTTGGACTAATAACTGGTTCAGACTAGCTTCTCATCGAGTTAGGTTTGTTAGATAATACTACTTAAGTTCTGTTGATTTACGTCTTCTGCATGTTAACTCAAAGCTGCTGCTCTTCATTAATTCAATGTTGGTCTTATTATTTGCATCCTTTCAAGACGAGCTGCGTGCATCTCATTTCCACCTGCAGGGTTTAATCAGAAACATGACGCTTAAAGCAGCTTTTTGAATCTGAAACCAGGAGGCGTTTTCTTGCTCTTCATATCCTCCTTTTCCTGCTCTTTCACTCGGCCTCCCTCCCCGCCCCTCTCTGCCTGCCGGCCCGATCACTCTCTCCTCCCTCGTAT